CTCTAGAAAAGATCCTGGCGATCTGGAGCAGAGTACTCCTGGCCTTGTCTTCCTTCCACCTGCAAGCTTCTCAGTTTCTAAAATTATCGGCACTTTGATGTCTACGGCTCAGATGGATAAGTGGGCCCAGTCTTTCCTGGTGGCTACAACGAAGAAACATACTCAGTTGCCATTCAATTGCCCCCTTTTCCTGGATCACAATCATGTCTGATGCCATCAATATGGGATGGGGGGGCTTACCGCCTGTCAGAGATAGCTCAAGGCAGGTGGGGCTTTTCACTCTCACAAGATTGTGTACAACATTCTGGACATTCTGGAGCTACGAACAGCCTTCTGCACCCTACAGGCCTTTCACCATCCAATGAAAGCAGCATCAGTGCTGTTAGCCTAGAATACACTACGCCAGTCTCCAACATAAAGAGACAAGTGGAGACTTGCAGCTTCTCTCTATTACAGGAAGTGGAGCGAATTATGTTTTGGGGCTCAGAAGGGTAAAGCTGACATCTCAGAAGCTTATGTCCCCAGAGTCCAGAATATTCTAGATGACTTTCTTTCCAGGGTCCATTTGGACAACATCAAATGGTCCAATTTAGAGGCTTCTCCCTAAAACAAAACAACATAAATAAATAAAAGAAAAAATAGAAACAAAAAAAACCCACAGGAACATCAAGAGTTTAATTTTCCTTTAACTTTGTTTTTTAGGGTCCTCTCTGAAATGTGAAAATTTATTTTGTGTTTGTCTGGGTTGGATCAGGCTCTTCAGAGAGCAGTTTCTGAGTTAATGGCCTCTTTGTTCCTCAAGAGGAGATACCTTGTTGAGGTACACATTCTCATAGCATTGGCGTTCATTCTCCTGTTGGTGACACATATTATTAATTGCATCAGGAAGAGCAACAGGGTTACACAAATCAAGACAACAGCAGGGTGGAGTAAGATGTTTAGGAAAGCTGTGGCTGTAGGACTGTACCCAATAAACCTTCCCACCAAGATACCTTTGCATCTCCATCTAATGCTTGTGTTACTCAGTCTAATCTATTTTGATTGTGAATGAGTTGTACTGTGGCTTGTTTCTCAGCATCTTTTAACACATTTAAAATCTCATCCTGTTGCCCAAAGTCTAATAACCAAGCTTTTACCTCCGACCCAAATCCCAAAGAAAGTTTCTGTAGGTGTATGGGGGTGTCAGGTTTGATATCAAGCCTTTTCTCAGGGGTAATAGGAGTACGTCCTTGTGTTCCTGCTATTCATTTTGTAAAGCGCTGCGCAAACTGTTGGTGCTATATAAATCCTGTATAATAATAATAATAATAATAATATCTATACCAAGGACAGGAGATGTACAGTAGACTCCCCGTGGTGGTGTATCCCGCTTAGTACAATTTAACCCTTTTGCAGAATATAGGGCATCGCTAGCCATTTGATACCAGCACCAATACCCTTGCCCCAAGTATTTTAAATAAGGTTGGGACAATTCCTCAGCATCCATCAGGCATGACCCTTCTTTGTGCCAGCATTGCTTTATCATGATCCTGTCCTGTTTTCTTTGGCATAACACTGGTTAAAGCTTGTAGAAGGAGTTTTCATTCTCCTGTAGGAGGATGCAGGACCCCTGACCTCTGTCTGGACAGTGCTGATTGGCCCTGTGCTGATCACATGCACGCTCCAAGGTAAAAAAATAACCTCTCTAGCAATATACACCAAGCTGAGCATGTGAAGAGTGACTCTACAAGATATGTCTTATCAGGAGATAAGAGAGGGACACTGGAAGAAGGAGAGGATCAGAAAAGTCAGGATCAAACAGCCTTTTTACACAATGCTGAGGATTAACGCCTTAGGTTCCACAGTGAGTATAGCAAGCATGCTTTACTGTATATACAGACGGATTTTACTGTTGTGGGTTTAGTAACACTTTAAATGTGGTTTATTTGCACTATCCATGTGCTCTGTTTGCTTCATCTTCTACCTTTATTTATTTTGCCTGCAGAAATACACAGAACTGACAAGGATGAAGCACCTCATAAAGGCACCAGTGAAGTGTGCTATATTTGCTTCAAGAACACTGGCTGAAGCTTGGAGAAAAGTTTACAAATAATTGGAATTTTTTCATGCCGAAGTATATGGATTTTTTTTTTAAAACAACATCAGGAATGCTACTTATCAGCAATGAAGTGCCCTGTGTGCTGGTGGTTGCAGTTTGTAGTAGAATCATCAGTCCTCTGCCCCCAGATAGCCCCTCATCAGCCATCTTGGAGTACTCCGGTAGTTAATATCAACACTTTCCACCCTGTGCTGTATTCGTAGCACCCATACTTTTCATTCCCACTAAATAATAAAGAATAAAAACCTCTCTAGCAATACACACCAAACTGAGCATGTGCAGAGTGTCTCCGAGGCTCTGTTCTATCAGGAGATGAAATGAGGAAGTAGAAGGGGTGGATCAGAGAAGTGAGGATCAAACAGCTTTTTTACACAGTGCAGAGGATTAACCCCTTAGGTTCCACAGTGAGTATAACAAGCATGCTTTACTGTATATACAGACTGATTTTAACTGTTGTATGTTTAGTAACACTTTTAAGTCTCTGCCTTGGCCACCCCTCCACTATCTAAACAACGTTCTTTAATTTTCAAGCTCCTTCTATCTTTTTAACCTTATTTCTGTGGCCCCAGTCCTATTCTCACCTAGGCGAGAATGATGTGTCCTATTCCTACAGCCTCCTGGGATATTCCAGGAAGCTGTGGGAGCCCATTCAGAGAGCAGGGGGTGGGTGGAGCTGAAGAGTGTCATTGAGGCTTGGTTGTCTGAACCTCGAAAGAGACAGCCAGTCTCCAAATGACTATGAACCAAGTGAACCAAGATGGAGGCACTGGACACCAGTGTATCACAGCAGGACAATGCTGGAACCACTGGGCAGGTGAGCATCCTTTCTGATGGGAGCCCAGCATCACAGGTAAGGGGGCATGGTTGGGGAAAAAGCAAAGTGAAGTTCCTATTATGGAAACATAGCTTTGGCCATATTTTTTAAGAAACTTGTGATTAATAAGATAAAATAAATGAAATATCTAAAATGGAAAGTAGAACACCCTCAAATGCAGCAGTAGATGTGCAAACCTGTGATCTAAAGCTCGCCACGCACATTACAATCTGACAGTACAATCTCCTTTAGATCTACCAACAATGATATTGGCCTGCTCGATTGGATGAAAACTGAACAGATAGTTTGGAAAGGTCCTCATATCATATATAGCTTTGGTAAATGTCAAGGAAATTGTACAAAGATTGTACAGTCAGATTGTATAAAGAGCTTAAAGCAATATTAAGCACTCAATGTGTTTTGGATTAAAACATTTACCACAATAAAATAGTCATTCCCCAGTAAACTGTTAAAATTATTACCCTAGCACTTGCAGTTTACAACTTCCAATGGTACTGGCTCCTGCTCTCTCAGTGCTGCTTTCCTGAACTTCCAGTATTCATAGGATACGGTTAACAGTGGACAGTGCAGTCTGGAGCCAGTCTGTTAGTGTGCAGAAGGGAGGGGTGAGGAGGAGGTGAGTGCCTTTGTCATTCTAGGCTACAGGACTGTGTGTTTCTGTAGATTCACACCATACAGGGAGATACAACTCTAGTCCCTGAATGAAAGGGTGATGCCATTGGATGCTGCAAGAGAAAGGAGCCATCCTGAAACAGGAAATCTGGAATATATCACTTTTCGTTGCAGAGATCCCACCATCAATCATTGTGCACCAGTTCACACTATATGCGTTTCAGTGTGCTTTTTTTCTGCATCCAAAATGCACAGAAAGTATGGTTGTCATAGTTCACATCAGTGCTTGCAGTTTCAGTGTGCTCCAGTTGCAGAAAAAAAATTGAACAGGCTGCATTTGTCCTAACAGAACTGTACTGGAACGCTGTAAAACACATCAAAAACACACCAGAATGCACTGGGACACACCAAAAACGCACTGGAGCGCACATGTCCCTATTTAAATTGTACAAGAGAAGGAAAAAAATTAACTGGAACACATCAAAAACGCACTGGAATGCTCCAAAAACTCCTCAAAAATAGTGTGAACCGGCCCTAAGACACACAAATGTATAGGGATGGTATATATTTTAGGAATGTTACTTGACACATAGTTCTGCATTTCAGACACTGAGTTTTTTTTTTTCTTTCTTGTCCAGCATAGTATTTGAAAAACAAATATTTTTGCCGTTACAAACTGTTAGTCATTCAACTCTCTATGCAGAAAAATATAAAAATGTTTCTTTTCTGGTGAAACATTGCACAACATTTGGCTTCACTTCAGACTTGTTCAGCGTATGATTGGAGCCAGCCAGACGTTCTGTGTCTGCTCTGTCTTAATCTTGGAGATCAGCAGCTTCCCAAAATTAGGACAGTATGTATCAAAACAGGCTGAGGCCACCTGTGGCTTTCTTACTGCCTCTCAACCATGACTCATTGCATGTCATTTCTAATACCATGACTTAGAATAGGTGATGGATACACCCCCTACATTTTGGATCAGAATGCCATCCATTGTGCTGGACATGTACAACCAATTTCAAACAACTGAACAGAACAAGAGAATCTTCCAACAACAGTTTGGAATAATTGATGGTATAATGGAGACTATTGGTGGAAATGACATTGATCGCTTCGCTCATTTTTATGAAATTGGCTGTACTATAGACTAAAAGTACCATGTTATGGACAGCAGGATACGGGCTGATCTTGGCTATTTTGTTTCTTTCAGTCAGTTTCAAACCACGTTTCCTGTGTTTTTTTTTTTCTTTTGCTAGACACTAGGAAATAATCGTAAAAGCAAAAAAACTGAAAGTTTCTGCCACATAGATTCTGGCCTTCTGATTCTCATTCTGGGTGCCAGACCAGACTTACTATGTCCTTGACGTATAGGCAAATGGTTATTGGATTTCTTTACCTATAAGAACAATTGTGGATAGAAACTGCCCTAAAGTCACTAAACTACTTAAAGCGCTACTAAACCCACAACAGTAAAATCAGTCTGTGTATGCAGTAAAGCATGCTTGTTATACTCACTGTGGAACCTAAGGGGTTACTCCTCCGCCTTGTGAAATAGGCTGTTTGATCTTTTCTTCTATGCCCTCCTCTTGTTCAAATGTCCACTCTGATAAGACAGACTGAACCATAGCCCTTCTGCACATGCTCAGTTTAGTGTGTATTGCTAGAGAGGTTTTTTTTTTTTCTCTTGGGACAGTGCATGTGATCAGCACAGGGCCACTAAGCACTGTCCAGACAGAGGTCAGCGGATTTCCATCCTCCTAGAGAAAACTCCTCCTACAAGCTTTAACCTCTTCCATACCGGGCACTTTTACCCCCTTCCTGCCCAGGCCAATTTTTAGGTTTCAGCGCTCTCACACGTTGAATGACAATTGCGCGGTCATACAACATTGTACTAAAACTAAAATTGTATCATTTTCTTCACACAACTAGAGCTTTCTTTTGGTGGTATTTTATCACCACTGGGGTTATTTTTTGCTAAATTAACAAAAAAAAAAAAACATTTTGAAAAAAACCCAAGTTTTTCTTTGTTTCTGTTATAAAAGTTTGCAAATAAATAATTGTTCTTCATAAATTTAGGCCGAGATGTAATCTGCTACATGTCTTTGGTGAAAATAACCAAATTAGGATTTATTATTTAGTTTGTAGGAAAGTTCTAGAGTTCACAAACTATGGTATAGATCTGAATATTGATCAATCCAGAAGTACTGACAGCCAATATAATTTCTTGAGCTCCAAGAATGTCAGAACAGTACAGATATCCCCCAAATGACCCCTTTTTGCAAAGTAGACAGTCCGACGTATTTTATAAGAGGAATGGTGAGTTTTTTGAACTATGAAAAAATTAAAAAAATTGTTTTCACTATTTTTTTTACATACTGTCACCAGTGCAGTACAGCGTCATCATATAACTGGCATGGCGGTAATCAGGGACACTGACTGGTGACAGTATGAAAAAAAAAAAATTATAATATTTTTTTTTTTTTAATTTTTTTATTAGTTTTAATTTTTTATTACTTTTTTTTCTTTTTTAAGATTTTTTTTTCATATTTCACTATGACCAAAGTAGTACAATGTTACCATAGTAACATTGTACTACTTTGGGGAAGTGATCATTATTTATTTATTTTTTTTACACTATTTGCTTATAGCAAAGAATTACTTTGCTATAAGCAAGCATTTACCTGAATGACATCGATTCATTCAGGGTTTGTTTTTTTTTTTTTTTTTGCTTAGCTGTGATTTGGCCACAGCTAATCACATGACACAGCTAGGCTGTGATTGGCCCAGCTTGTGCATGTGATCGCTGTGACCATTCACAGCTAGACACACTAGTATACAATGGATGGCATGAATTAAGCCATCCATTGTATACAGCTGTCATGTGACCTGCTGTGATTGGTCACAGCAGGTCACATGGTACCGGCAACGGGGCCAGTACTCAGATCTGTCATCGGCCGTGTCCGAGGTACACGGCCGATGACAGATCATGCCGCTGCGCGGCTCTGTAGGTGCGCAAACTGCGCATGCCCAAAAGGATGCCATATGGCGTCCACCCGAACAGCAAGGTGCTCGCCTGGCTGCCATCTGGCCATACGCCAGGTGGGAAAAGGTTAACTAGTGCTCAGCTGAAGTCACAAGACTGCTCTAACTGCTGATGAGAAAAGGTATTTAGCAGTTTATATTTACTAAAATAATTGCATTTCCATGTCCTGTGTTCTGTGGGAACCCAGATATAATGAATGCAAGGTCCAGGGTTTAGTAATACTTTAAAGACCCTTGGTGCCCAAGAGCCTGAGGACCACATGCTGCTCTTTGGTACTTATGGTGTGGCTCTCACCCCCTAGTAGTCAGTACTCCAAAGACACGCTGATATGTTAGATGGTTTCTGTCCAATTTAGCCCCAGTTTGTGTGTATTTATACATGTAAGACAGACACATTAGATTGTAAGCTCCTTGAAGGCAGGGACTGTGATCTCTAGAAGTCTTATGTAACATATGCTCAGCCTCTAACAGTCTCCTGTAGTAGATCTCCAGCTTTCAACTACACCTGTTGCATATTACCAGTCACGTATTCCATTAGCGTGTCAGCAGTCTCTGAAAATCCTCTGTAGCCCAACATATAGATTATATGGGCCCCCTTCGGATTCCAGGGGCCACAGTCAAGGCTCCCTATACCTAAAAAGTTGACCTTCACTGCTATGGATGCAGCATTGTGAAGGAATATTCAGGCACCATAAACTAGTATCCAAAATCTCTAGCAGCTGAAGCTACTATATCTATGAATGTTTGTCCTGGTCAAGTTAGCACAGACAGAAGAAGAGTGCACCAAAGGCCACGTGTCTCACTGAGGACGTTTATTATCAATCAGGATAGGTCATTTAAATTGTTTGATAAAAGTTGTTCCTTAAAGTAATTAGTCAGCAGGCATCTTCCTGCCTTGATAGACCAATGAGGTTGTCTGTGGCAACTGCCAGCTCATGAGGTTAATTTAAAAATGTCTTTTAAGGCTGCCTATTTATTTGAATGGGCTAGCAGTGTTTTTTGCAATGCAGTGCACCTCAATGCACAGTAGCATGTTACTGAGCACTGAAATGCAGGTGCTTTGGCAAGGTGTGTAACCTTATTCATTCCCTTACCCAATCCATATGCATTACAAAAACTACCATATTATAGATTAGGAGGGTTTAATTCCGCTTTAACAGACTGCTGATGCTATGTGAATAATGGAAACAAATTTTCCTTTGGGTTGCACTATCTGTACTGTTGTGGGTTTAGTAACACTTTAAAGTACAAACAGTCTGTATATGCAGTAAAGCATGCTTGTTATACTCACTGTGGAACCTAAGGGGTTAATCCTCTGCATTGTGTAAAAACGCCATTTGATCCTTCTCTGTTCCTCCCCTTTATCAAGCGACCACCTCTTATCTCCTGAAAAGACAGACTGAACCGAGGCATTTTGTACATGCTCAGTTTTGTGTGTATTGTTAGAGAGGTTTTTGCTTTCTGGGGAGAGTGCATGTGATCAGCAGTCTAATCAGCACTGTCCAGACAGAGGTTAGGGATTCTGCATCCTCCTAGAGCAGAAAGAAAACTCCTCCTACAAGCTTTAGGTAGTGCTTGGCTGAACACCATAGAAGTCACAAGACTGCTCTAACTGCTGGTGAGAAAAGGTATTTAGCAGTTTATATTTACTAAAATAATTGCAGATTCATGTTGTGTGTACTGTGGGAGACCAGATATAGTGAATGCAGGGTCCTGGGTTGAGTAACACTTTAAACCTATACAATAAGGAAACACTGTAAGGGGTCAAACTATTATAGTTAGATAATTGTTAGAAATGGCTGCTTATATTTCACTTGCTTTCCAAAACAGAAGTTTTCCTCTGCTAAGAACCGTTTGCTGGGGAGTTTACTATAATTAACCCTGTCTGTACTGTGCTGGCTGATGTTGTTAGCAGTTGTAAACTGGATTTGAACACAGTCTGTCATAACAGAGGTTTAAAGTCTAACTTCAGGTATCTTGATGATTCTACCTTGTAGTGGGACTATAAGAGTTAGTGTTACTAAACCCACAACAGTAAAATCAGTCTGTATATGCAGTAAAGCATGCTTGTTATACTCACTGTGGAACCTAAGGGGTTAATCCTCCATTATGTAAAACAGCTGTTTTATTCTATCTTCTCTGCTCCTCCCCTTATTCTACTGTACGCAATACATTGCATCCAGAAAGTATTCACAGCTCTTAACTTTTGACACATTTTGTTATGTTACAGCCTTATTCCAAAATGGATTAAATTTTCTCCTCAACATTTTACAAACAATACCCCATAATGACAACGTGAAAGAAGTTTGTTTTGAAATCTTTGCAATTTATTAAAAATAATAAAAAAAAAAAAAAAACAAGGGAGAATTTTCCTGAATACGTTTAATGGAGTTCAACTAAAGATGCAGAATCTGGTCTTCATATGTTAATTAGGGGAAACTCCATATGTCCCTCTTTGTCAGTGGGGGCAGACTGAGTTTCCTCTCATGTCAAATTGTTAAGAATAGATTGAAGTCTGCCCAAGGCCTGCTCCAAACAAAAAGGTAAAAAATAGTTTATACATATTATTTTAGTTACGGTGTGGGACTAATACACTTAAAGGTGTTGGTTCTACCTAAGTGAATATAAATGCTGGTGTATCCCTGACCAGGGGTGGACTGACCATTTGGGAACTCGGGCACTGCCCAAGGGCCTGGGGTCAGTAGGGGGCCCCTATGAGATGCCCCTTGGTACCTTTTCATAGGCTTTTTTGGGTGTGGTTTGAGTGTGGGCGAGGACACAGGGGCCCCATGATCCCCTATTGCCTGGGGAAGCCCCATGAGTTGTCAGTCCGCCCCTGTCCCTGACACTCATTAGACCTAAAGAAGTGGCTTGGAGGACCTACAAAATTCCTTCAACGTTAACATCAACAAGTCAAATTGAATGTGACTACTGCAAGCTTTACCATGACCTGGTTAGATGAGAACCTTTTACAGGCATTTGAAACTAACAGGAACAATAGGAGGGTGGATCTGAGAACACCCATATATTGATTCTAGCCCCAGAATTATGCTGTAATATGATAAACAATTAGATATACAACCCACCAGTATTAGATGGGGTGAGCTTTTTCTGCTTTTTACTTTGTTGTTTGGAATGGTTTTCTTTTATTTAGATGGAATCCAGCTGTCAAACATAGGAAAATATTTCCTCCTGGTCCCTTCTGAAGGTTCTGTGTGCTAAAATAGAAACAGACTTGGCTTTCTTCTCTTCCGGAAACAGAGCAGAGTCCTGTAATTCAGACATAATACGGCATATATTGATTCAATATATACAAATACACTACAATCAATCACGGTTAACATATTACTATACAGTATATACAGCAATTTCACTGTGATCACCCTGAGGCTTAATTCATGGGAATATTATTCTGCTCTCATCCACAGAACAAGCATTTACCACCTCAAATTCTTGTTTGTTATTTGATCCATATACGTCCCCTGGTTGTCTTTGCTTCTGAGCTGCCAGTCATTTACTATCTAATTTGTTGGAATTTGATTACTTTCCTATCAGCTTGCATGCAATTTTTATATACTATCTGTATTTGTTTCTAACCAATTAACAGTTTCCTCTAACTACCTGACACAGTCAAACAAGTTTTCACAATATGTCTTACATGATAGATTGGTTGCCAAAGGGCAGAATGATTGCTAAAGCCCAGCCAATGGGCAACTAACGTATCATGTAAGAAGACATATTATGAAAAACTCGTTTGATGTACCGTATTTTTCACTTTCTAAGATGCACCTGACCAGGGGCGGACTGACCATTTGGAAACTCGGGCACTGCCCGAGGGCCCGGGGTCAGTAGGGGGCCCCATGAGATGCCCCTGGTACCTTTTTCATAGGCTTTTTTGAGTTTGGGCAAGGTCACAGGGGCCCCATGATCTCCTATTGCCTGGGGGCCCCATGAGTTGTCAGTCCGCCCCTGCACCTGACCATAGGATGCACCTAGATTTTAGAGAAGGAAAACAAGAAAAAAAATATTCTGAACCAATGAACTGTAGACATAGTACAGGAAATGACCACAGACTGCAGACATAGGTGTCCTTTTATGAAACGGAGATCAGCGGCGATCCTGAGGATCGTTGCTGATCTCAGATCATTAGTGGTTTAGGAAACAGAGATGACCTGAATTTGACAGGTACCTGCTCCCTCTTCTGCGGAGTTGTCCTCAGCCGTAGTCTTGTGGGACACGTAACAGGTCCCAGAAGACTACAGGTGGCCATTCACAAAGCGCAGCGCTTCTCGCATTTGCGCAGTGGGCATCCTGCTGTGAAGCCGCAAGCTGTCATGGCTGGGTGCCCACACTGAAGATGCTAGCACCGGGGAGAGAAGACAGCCGGTGAAAGCAGGACACCGCTGGATCGAGGAACAGTAGAGCCGATTGACCAGTCCCTTATTCTAAGATGGCGGCAGTGGGAATACCAGGCTGGCCACTCCATAAGACATACAGACATTTTCCCCCATTTTTGGGGGGCAAAAAAGTGCGTCTTATGGAGCGAAAAATACGGTAATTATATAATGACACATATTGTTAACCATTTTATATGTAAGCATTTGGTATTGGAATTATATTATTCCTTTGTGTTTCTTATGTTGATATAGTTTCACAGAACCTAAGGAAATGGGTTTATTGACTCAGGAAATGCGTGGTGTATAATCTGAACCCCACCACTTGCTCACCGTAGAAGATAAGCTGGATGATGTGATACAAATTTATATTAATGAATGTAAAAATGCTGAAGGGTGAGGGTAACTATGGCAAACTGTAAATCTATGACGGTATGTATCGTATAATCTGTTATGTGGTCGTTGCAATATCAGTAGCCTTGTAGAAGCTCAAAAAGCCTTTAAGGCTCACGTGATCAATCTTTAAACAATGATAGTACATAGAAGTTATACATTTTTTTTATACATATTGTTTCTGTTATCAAGTTATAGTTGCACCTTAAAAGACCCATTAACATTCCACATTATACATGAATGTAAGCTCTTATGAGCAGGGCCCTTGTAATTTAATGTATTGTAACTGTATTGTCTCCCTTTTTACTGTTTGATTATGTCACGGATTCCCCACACGCCACCACGCCCACAGCGACTAGCTAACTGAGGCGCACACGTGCGGGCGTGACTTGGGGTAAGAGGAAATAAAGGGGACTTAACTTTGAATATATAAAAAACGTACATAAGACCAGCCGTGATGTACTTCCACAGCCCACACTACCTTTTGGCCACCACCGGAGGGAGACTGCATTCCAATCCAGATGGCTGACCACACACTGGCAGATACAAATCTTATATACAATCTGGTGCACTGATTAGAGTTGAGGAGCAGCTTAGCAATCACACACCCTTCTAGGGTCCCTCCAGCTATCCTACAGCTAGAACCCCGGTGTTAATCACTCTTCCACTGTCCACACACCCCCCATACCAGACACACCACAAAAGGTAGCTGGCCACTACCCAACAGTTTATCCGCAGTATAGTCTGTTGAGACACCCCACACACACAGATCTGTTACCTTTTACAATCTGCATGCAATCTGCCCACACGCAGTGCAATTGCATACAGATTGGCAATGAGCTTGACCGAGCGTTTAAAGGCAGTAAAATACAATACAATCTAATCTCTCCAATCTAATCTCTCTGAAGATATGAGCCTGTGCTTAAATACACAGAAGTCACTAATTATTTTTAAGATTTAATATCCCAAAAGTGGGCAGTGCATAAAATATGTACAAAATATAAAAAGTTACAGAAAATACAAAAAATACAAGAAGAAACACAAATGACTATTCACTATAAAATAAAAGGGAATAAAACATAATAAAACTTTTGCGTCAGCAATCTGTCAAATAGAACCGGCTCCATACGAATTACCATGTCCCAATGTCCGGGTACTCAATTTATGGGGATATGGATGTAGTCGGGACATTAGCCCTCGGCCAATTGACCCTGGGGGGTGTTCCTGTACCCGCCCACAGGATGTTCTGGGTGCTGACCTGCCCAAGTTCAATATAGAATAATGCCTTCCACATCAGTAGCTTCTTCTTAGCAGATGTTGCAGACTGGTGAATGTGGCAGTTCAAATCATAAAAATGTTTCAGCATTTTGTGGTTATATTCTTTTAATTTCTCTAAATATTAAAGCAATTGTAAACACACATTTTTTTTATTTTTTTTAAATAACAAACATGTTATACTTACCCTCTCTGTGCTATGGCTTTGCACAGAGCAGCCCTGATCCTCCTCTTCTCGGGTCCATTGCTGGTGCTCCTTGCTAAGGGGACGCAGGCTCCAGGGCCAGCTCTATGTGTCTATAGACACAAACAGAATGGATTAGCCCCACCCCAAGCTTCCCCTCCACTAGCTATAAATGACAGCAGCAGGAGCCAATAGCTCCCACTGCTGTGTCTGAGCCAATGAGGAGGGAGGGAGTTGAGAGAGCCTCTGTTCTTGTGCACATTGCTGGATCGAGATCGGGCTCAGGTAAGTATCGGGGGGGGAGGTGCATGCATACTGAAGGTTTTTTAACTTAAAGCAGAGAATGCATTAAGGTAAGAAACCTTCAGGCTTTCGAAACCTTCAGTCCCCCCAACCAGCCTGGGACACCACACAAGGAAGCTGGTGCTATCCAAATATGTCCTGTGCAACATCTTTTCCTAATTTATTGCTA